TAGAGTGTACGATACTGAATCAAATGCCTTCCGAAAGACTAAAAAGACACAATCAACTTGGCTACCATGGTTTATCGATGTAGCGATATCATGGGTAAACTCTACTAACTGTGTATCGCAAGATAATTCCGTCCTAAAGCCATGTTGCGTTGAGTGAAAAAAATTATTACCTTGTAGGTGACTAATTAAGTTAGTGTAAATAATGTGTTCTAGTGTCTTGCAGGAAACGCTTGTCAGAGAGATAGGTCTATAGTTAGAAGTTTTTGTTTTGTCTCCACTTTTATGCACAGGGACTACATTTGCATTTTTCCAATCAAGAGGTAACTCACTTTGTTCAAATGATTTTCTAAACAAGACTATTAGATATGAAGCGACAGAGGGGGCACAATTTTTCAGAATATAGTTAGAAATGCGGTCTTGGCCAGGGGCTGAGCCTATCTTGATCTTCTCTAAGAGCAAAGTGATGCCGTGCTCTGAAAACTCTATGTCATTCATAAGTGAAAACCCATTGAAATTCCGTAGGCTACCAACCATGCTGCCTGGCTTAGTGAACACTGACTGGAAGTACAAGTTGAAGCTTTCAGCCTTGCCTCCTAGATCGTTGCTATAGTCTATACCATCCATTACATCGGGGATAGTAATACTAGAATTTTTTTGTTTTTTTACGTATTTCCACACTCCCTTAGGGTTTCTTTTGAGTTTTTCAGAGAGAGTTCCTTCGTACTTGTTTTGTGCCTTGCACATTTCTTTTGTTATGTTCCCATTCATTTCTTTCATCTTAAAGTACAACAGAGTTTCTCTCGATTGACAATACCGACAAAACAAACGATTCTTTTTGCTTATCAATGTTCGAAGTTCTCTATTCATCCACGGTTTCTCGTTTAGGCGCTTTGCCGATATGATACGTGATGGAACAAACGTCTGGGTTAAAGATAAAATTTTTGTCTTAAAAAGATTCCACGCTGAATTAATATCTAAAGCTCAAGTATGCAGCTGGAATTCTTGAAAAAATGCATCCAGGTCACGCGATAGCGAACCGTAGTCCCCGCTTTCATAGAAAAACACTTTCCGTGGTTGTGAACTGCGACGGCGCGTTGCATTACAGCACATTTTTGCGACAACAACCTCATGATCGCTTATATCGGGTATTGTAAGAACAGAGGACACAATATTACGGTCACTGCATAAAAACAAATCTAGCACATTAGCACTCGTAGGACCAAGCCTTGTTGGCGTTTCCACAAACTGTAATAATGAGTGTGCATTGATCATATCACGAAACGCTGTATAAAGAAGAGACGTGGTCTGAATGATTGGCTGAAAAGAGACCCATTCTACATTTGGCAGGTTAAAGTCGCCTGCAAGAATGGTATATGTTGCCTCAAGGCTCAAAAGGATATTGCTTAGTTGAAGGAGGAGCTGTGCAGTGTTTGCGCCGGGTGGTCTATAAAAGGAACCAAACGCTACAGAGGAGCCATCCCGGAGCATAACTTTACACCAAACAGTTTCAGATGCGTTGCATTCGATATTGACAGAGAGGCTACTAAGACTATTATGAATAAGGACAAAGACATCTCCACCCTGCACGCTGCGATCTTTCCTGTAAAAGCCATACGTGGACGGAAACATTTCACTGTCCATTATTGTATTATCGAGCCAGGACTCTGTGCCAAGGACCACGTGTGGCTTTATTGTTTCCAAGAGGGAGGCAGATTCTATTATTTTGTTCTTTAGGCTCCGACAATTCACGACAATGCAAACAGAGTTATTTTTATTGACAATTCTTTGTTTGTGCCTAGTAATCGGTAGTGGCTATCTCTCCTTCCTTGTCCCAGTGTCTGTAGTGCTGTTGCACATGTAAGTCTGATTAGCCTTTTTTAGCTTGTTGAAATGCAGTTTGAAGTCCCCTCCGCGGTCCTTAGCAAACTTAAGCAACCTTTGTCTTTCCAAGCGAACTTTTTGCGAGTAGTCCTCACTAATCGCAAACTCAGATCCTTTTAGCCTTCCAACGACTGAGAGCATTCGCTGCTTATCTTGAAATAATAGGAACACTATCACGGGCCGCTTTTTTGTGAGCGTAAAACGCCCTAGTCTATGAGCTCGTTCGATCGCAGCAGAATCAATCTGGATGTTCAGTTTTTCGGAGCAAAATGACACAATCCTTTCCTCCGATGTAGCCCATGTTTCATTTTGAACGTCTGAAATGCCAAAAAATATAAAGTTATTTCTGCGAGACCTATTATCTAGGTCATCGTGACAGTCCTGTAAGGTCGTGATACTTGAAGAAAGCTTATCGGATTGAGTTGCAAGGCGTGCCACTTCAGCCTTTAGCGGGAGTACGGATGCTACATTATCTTCAACCTGCTTTATCTTGTCTGTTAGCGCCGTCACCTTTTGTTCGAGAATCTGTTGGTGATTCTAATAGAACGGACTTCTTCAAGAATTTCCGAGTGTCTCTGTTGCATTGACGGTATGGTCATGATAACGTCAAACATCTGCTTTTCCTGCTCGGGAGACAGGGGCCCTGGGTTTCGCTCTACGTCACCAGCAAGCAAAAGTTGATTTTGGACAAGACGCGTACATCCCAAACAAAACGAGGTCACGAAACGTGCAATCACAGTTACAGCCGTAGTGGGTTCTGGCGCCGATTTCTTCATAGGTTTACCGTTAATAGGAAGGTAAGAATAACACACCTGAAGCGGCACGTCGGGATCGGGATCTAGCGGCCATGTCGGCGCCAGATCCCGAAGTGACAGGGTGCGACAGCAGCTTTTGTAGTTTTCTGCCGTGATCGAATGCCCAGGGTTGCCAGTCGATGTGATGGTCGAGAAGTGCCGGTAGCGCTGTCATGACCAGCGGCGAGGGGTCATCCCAGAACACAAAGGCCGGGCAAACTTGTTCTTGGAAGGCATTGTCATCCGAGACGAAACACGCCGTCGCTGCAGCGTCATGGAAGGCTGCCACGAACCGCACCACCTGAAGGAATACGAGGCGTAAGTTTCTAGCGGCCATGTCGGCGCCAGATCTCCAATTCCGTTTTTTTGCCAATTCTTTGGCAAAAAAACGGAAGGGGCGATGAGACACTTCCCAAGCAGCACGGATTTTGGCCAAGCAATGGCCAATGTCTGGCGATGGTCTTTTGGCCAGTGGCCAGAGAGTGGCCATTCACTGGCCAATGCTTGGCCAATGGCTGATGGCCAGTGGCCATTGGCCAATGGCCAGATAAAGGCCAGTCACCGACCAGTCTCTGGCCACTGTCTGGCCACTTGGCCAAGGACCATTGCCAGCCATTGGCCGATGATTCGCCAACTCTGTGCTGCTTGGATTGTCATCGAGTCGCGCGTTATTCTCTGCCTCAATAATTACTCTAATTAAAGGGTCGCCCTCTGCGTTTGTGAAATCGGGATCCCAAGCACAGTTTCCTCGGCAGTGATTCCCTAGATGGCCAGATACAGTATTGTTCGTGTTGTTATGATGCTCTCCTAGCCCTGCGTTCAGACGTCTCCCGCTTTGTCCGATATAGAAATGGGGTGTCTCAGGAGGGCGGCTCGATGTTGCAGGAGGAGGGGAACCGAAAAAGGCGTGACGTCCCGATTAGTGAATGTAGTCTCTTGTAACGTCACCACAGGTCTCGTCGGGTTACGAATCGAAAATGTGTGTATCAAAGTCTTAGATTCTCGAATTAATTTCCTCATAAAATCTTTGTTATTTTGGTTGCTATTTTAGTGGCGTTATTAACATTATGTAAACTTGCGCGAGGCGTGAAAACCTACGATCGCGATTTTTTAGGCTGGAGGGGCCCTTTAAGATGTTTAGTTTATTACCGCCGAGCTTGGCGTCGACAAAAATAAATTTGGTCATTACCTTCTAGATAACAAAGTCGTAGTGACGTCACTGGCCGGATATAGCTGACGTCACAACGACCTTGTAAGCTCAATAACCTTCGTTCTTTTGTTGTTTTTTCTTCCGAATGACGCAACTGTCATTTTAAAAAATGTTGAAACTGCAAAAAGCATCTTCAGTCAAATCAAAAACAAAAAATATATATATCTTCCTTTGGCAAAACATAACGCGACCTTCGAGTACAGGATGCCAGCGTGCAAACAAGCTGTTGAAAGATGGGACATAACACAACACAGAAACTGTACGCAACCAAAAGACATACACGAAAAGTAAAAACAAATTACTTTTCTTGTTTGCGCCGCTTTTTTTGTTTTTTTTCCCGAGAATGCTTACGTGCATTCTCGGAGTGGTGTTATGACTTTCGAGTCAGATCGAGTAGACCACACGTGCGAAACAATAGGCGTCACCTCAAGAGTCAGAGTAACCATTGTATCGGCAGTGATAACAATAGCAACTTCTCTCCACTACGTTTTCCTCTGAACCCACCGTTTCCGAGTTCATGTTCCTTACCTAACAGGTGCATTCCTTTTAGATTCAAGACTATACGCGGAATTTAGCAAATCTCCACTATAACGTTGGTATTTTTTTCCATTTCCTTTGTTTTCAGTCTACACCTACTCATACAGCTGAACACTTTTTTACCGCACGCAACGGAAGCAAATGTCTTTTCTCCCGGCATGTGTTCCCGGCCAGCCGCGGCACGCAAACAAACGCGTTCTGTTTCCACTCCCGTAAATGTCCGAGCCGCGACTACGTAGTGCGCCCAGATCGCAGAGTGTCTCCACCTGCTCGATCGAGGTCATGTGTCTCGCGGGCCACGTTTGCAATAATACGAGTTGCGAGGAAGGGTCAAAAGCGCCCATCGACTGCGAGCGCCTCCCTGCGCAACGCACGCGCACTTGCGACCAAATCGCGCCTAAGACGACCGCCATCGGGTTGCAAGCGCTCGCCGTGATTTTGAGTTGCTCCGTCTCTTACATCCGGGCTCCCCCAGCGCTACGCAACGGCAGCACGGTGCGCATGGCGGACCGCGCCGGCGGCACAGGATGTGCGCATGTGCGTTGGCGGGAAGGAAGAGCTCCGTGGGGGCGATGAGCGAAAAAGCAACGACTGGCAGATACGACGAAACGTGCGATATGAACGGAGGATCATTCTTCGCCGGTGTAGCGCGGCGCAGCGCTGCCAAGTAAGCGAGGCGTATACCGTGGGAAGAGGCAGCGCGCCGCCGGTGCCGAGGAGTAACTTCAGGCATGATGGGAGTGCGCTTGAAGAGGGTGCGCAGGCTTTCGACCATCGAGGAGAGCTGGTGAGATCAATACTCAGTCTTATACACGTTGCTAAAAAAAATGTGATCATTGCAGTTACAATTATTATTGGTTTAAAACTTCAATTAGATTACTTCGTCACGTGAGAAGAGACATACTTGTCGGTAGTTGAAAAAAAAAACTTAATTTTTTCGGTTACTTCATATTTTTCAAGCAACAGATTTTGCTGCCGGTTTGAAAACGTGAATTTTTTTTTACTGTTCGTTAATTGATTAGAATAACCAAATTATAATCTACTTAGTTTCTTAATCCATCAATTATGCTAAAGCATTCTCCTGTCAGAGAGTCAGTTAGAGGATTCTTTGGAAAGGAACTTGTACGAATAAAGGCGTCATTAGAAACGACTAGGGAAAAAATACAAGTAATTTCAGTACCTCAAAAATTATTCAGATTACTCCCGTGGGTACTTCCTAATAAATGTAATCAAATTTATTTATTTATTTATTTATTTATTTATTTAGATTACCTGCATCGCCTTGGAGGCATGATGGCAGCATTACTCCAAATGTTATCCATTACAAATATTTTTATTACCTGTATCGAGCACCGTGCAAGTCTGCAATGCTCTGTTGTGTGTGTGTGCGATTTTTCTTGTTGCTGTTTTGTTTTACGAAGGGAAGAATTAGTTTTCAAATTCTCGAACCGACTACTTCAAACTTCAGGAATTAATGGTACGTATATGATATATGAACTGCAATTATGAAATCTGTACAGCCCGCAACACTGTTAGCGCGAACAAGCCATTGCCGTTTTTTTTTTTTTTTTTTTTACTTTGGATTTTTGGTTTTGAAGGACTGTCATCACAACTGCTATAAAGTTGTAAAATGCTCTGTTGGGGAACCAACAAAAGTTGTAAATCTTGACGCCCGCCAATACCCTTTCGAAGTAAAATGCGAAGAAGCGCCGATTTCGTGTATACACTTACAGTCAGGGTTGTAAAGTACCTAGGTACAAGTAACTGTAAATCGGTGCCTAAGTACTTTTGTTGTATCTGAGGTACAAACCTAGGTACTTTCATTTCTCAGTATCTGTATCTGTATCTTATGTACATTTTCCAGTAACTTGTAACTAACTGAAGTTAATTTTTACAGGTACTTTTCTATTTGCTTCGTCAAAATCGTAGAAAATACAATATAACATATAACTGAAAATAAGTTATAATTACAGTTGTAAAGCAATTTAACGTCACGTAGTGTTTCCATGCAATAAATCGAACTCAAATTTTGCACTTAACAAAACTGAATATGTTTGTGAAGAAAAAAACTGGGAGGACGATTAACCTTCGCCTTTAAGAGTTGAACGCGATAGAGTTATCGGGCCCCGTTCGCATGGCCTTCTCGATCGCTTCTCATGCTCTTGAGTCACACAACGACCTAGTTCTTATGATACAACACTCCCGGCGCGATCGAGGAGCTTTTGCCAGTGCTTTGATGCCATTTTACTTCGCAAAGTTTATTTATGTGTTTGCTCGGCACGCGCGGACAACACTCGACGCGATAATGCTTTTACCCTGACACAGACAGACATCGAGGCACTCCAATAACGGCAGGATCGCAGTGCCATTCCCGAGCCCTCCGTTGCCTAGTCGGTATCATGTCTGGCTCGCAACCGAAGGGTCGTGGCTGCGATCCTGCGTAAATTCTTCAAATTTTTCTTTAAAGCAAATGAATTAGTTTATCAAGTGGGATCATTTGAAACATGTGGCGACCATTAATTCGTGTGTCTTTAACCACCTTCATTCCACGCGTAACGTCACGTTTCACATGAGCGTTGTGGGTTGTTTGAAATTCCCGCGCGAATTCATGTGGCTGTGACGTCACGACCCTATTGACCATTCAGGAATTTCCCGTCACGCCACCGACGCCACCGACATCCGACGGATTTTCTGTGACACGAGCTCCTAAACGCGCTCGCCGTTAAAATATTCTCTTCCTTCCTTAAAACATTGACACCAATGTCAGGTTATCCGTTGGGGTTTTGGGAGTTCGTAGTTAATCGTAAGATTAATGCGTAGACTGGGGTTGATTTAAAGTTAACAAGACGTTTATTAACTGGGATTACAATCGGTTACACAAGTTTACATAATGTAGGAAGGAAGAGCGGTCGTCCCGTCCGTATCGTACAGCGTCCCGGAGTCGTCTCTGTTGCGAAGGGGCTTCTCCTCGGTGAGACGTAACCCGACGCCTCGCTCCTCTCGCCTCGGAATCCCGCCCGGGTCACGTAAACCGGGGGGCCCGATTCTGGGGGCTCCACGGAGGTGCAATGGGAAAGCCCGGGCTGGACGAAATTTTTGGTCGACTGTCTGGGTCTCTGTCTGGCAGGCAAGGTGGCTCTCCGCGCGGAAGGCGCTTGACGCTGACACGCCCTCCTTTAAATATGATCTGTCCTCAGATCACCAGGTCCCTCGGCCGTGTTGAAGAGTTCTGCCGGATTCAGATCCCGTTCGTTGTAGAGACGAATTTGTTCCACGTTGACTGTCTTCACATTTAATTTCCCATGCGCTGGCGAAATTCGGCGAATCGTTACCAGACTGTCTCCGAGGAGGTCGGTTACTTCATAGGGTCCGTCGAATCGCGCGTCCAGGGTGCCGCTTCTGGCGCCTATCTGGAGAAGAACGGTGTCTCCTGTTCGAATGTCTGGAGTTCCTCTTTCTCTGCCGTACCGGAGCCTGGAGTACTCTTGGCTTGCCCGCAGGCTGGCCCTTGTCTCGTCTCGGCTTTTGGCGAGCTCGTGAAGCCTTTCGCTCTCGGATATATCTTCGTCGACTGAACCAATGTTCAGTTCTCCCGGAAGCTTCGGGTTGTATCCGTGCATAAGCCAGAAGGGGCTCCAGTCGCTGTGCTTGTGCTTGCTGACGTTTATGGCCAGCGTCGCGTCGTTCAGCACTCTGCTCCAATCATGTCGTTGTCCGACGATCTTCCGAAGCACCTGCTTCAGAGATCCAACCATTCTCTCGACGAGACCGTTCGACTGCGGCCAGTAGGGTGGAGTGTTGACATGTTCGATGCCAAGCCGACGATGGAGCGCTGTCGTGCGTTTGTTGACAAAACCTCGTGCTTGATCGGTAATGATGACTTCCGGCACCCCAAATCGAGGAATCCATCGGTTCATCAGGAAGTCCACGTAGTGCGTTGATGCAGTGCTCGGTACTGCCACTGCGTCCATGTATCTTGTGGCGTGGTCAACACATACGAGAATGTAGCCCTTGTCTTCGCTCGTGTCTATTGGACCGAGGTGGTCGAGCGAGATCACCACGTTGGGCTCGTTCGGGATGGCTCGAGGACTCAAGCAGCCTTTGCTCCGTGTTGTGCGCGCGTTAATCGTCTGACACGTGTGGCAGGACTGTACGTAACGACGCACATCTTTGAGCAAAGTCGGCCACCAGTACTTTCGTAGGATGAGTTCCCTCGTCTTTTCCGTTCCCATGTGTCCTGAGTTGTCGTGAAAAATCGTCATCACAGAGTCTCGGAGCGTGGCGGGAACGACAATTCTCTTTACAATGCGTCCTTTCTCCGTGGTTTCTTTCGTGAGGACGTCGTTCTCGTTGTTGTACGGGCTGTTTTCGTCGCTCGCCAGTGACGCTAACTTCTGGCATTCTGCGTCCCATGCCTGCAGGTTGCTCAGGTGACTGTGATCTCTTGCCACAATGGCGTAGCACGTCAACCCTTGACCCGCCGGTACCGTTTTGAGGATGTCTCCTGGCATGCTCTCGCTTTCTCCCTGTCGTGAAAGGGCGTCGGCTGCCGTGTTCAATCTTCCTGGTCTGTGAACAACGTCGAACGTGTATTCAGCAAGGTCGAGCGTCCATCGAGCGAATCGGCGATTCGTTGCTCCCTTCTGAGCCAAATACGCCACGCTGAAGTTGTCCGTAATCACAGTGAAACGCGGTCCACCCCGCAGGTAAATAGAGAACTTCTCTGTCACTGCCCAATGCAGCGCCATGCATTCGAGCATGTTGGAGTGAAGGTTGGTGTCGTGTTTGTTCAGCGATCGGCTTGCGTATTCGATCACCCGTTCCCTGCCGTCTTGCATCTGACTGAGTATGGCTCCGAGGCCGGTCTGGCATGCGTCAACGTGCACATGCGTCGGGCAGTCTGGTTGGAAGCTCGCAAGAAGTGGAGGGTGTTTGAGAGCGTGCTTCAGAGAGTCGACCACGTCTTGGTGTTCATGCGTCCACATAAAAGGTGTCTCTCTGGCGATCAGATCTCTCAATATACGAGTACGTGCTGAAAAATCAGGGATGAACTTACGGTAGTGGTTGGCGAACTGTAGGAACGAGTACAGCTTCTTGGCGTTCATGTGTGGTTGAAACTTGTCGACTGCGGCGACTCGAGCTTGGTCAAGCGTACGTCCGTCCGATGATATTTCGTATCCGAGGAAAGCGACGTTGTCGCGCACGAGTTGGCATTTCTTAATGTCCATTTTCAGTCCGTTGGTAACGATTCTGTCGAGAGCTGAGTCGAGGAGTTCTAGTGCTTCCTTGACCGTTGTTGCTCCTTGCCCTACGTCGTCCATGTAAGTGGAGGTTCGTGGCAATCCGTCGAATGTGCGTCGCATCACTTTCTGCATAGTCTGTGGAGCTTTGCAAAATCCAAATGCCATTCGGAGGTACTCGTACTTTCCGTCAGGTGTTACGAATGCCGTTTTGTGGATATCATCCGGTTTCACGCGTACGGTGAGGAAAGCTGTCTTTACATCCATTATGTTGAAGTACTTCGACTGGTCACGCATGATATCGTCGATCACATCTTCCATGATGGGCATGGGATAGGACGGATTCACAGTCTTCGCGTTCAGCTTCCTGTAGTCGTGAACCATCCTTCGCGGAGTCGTTGGGTGGTGCGGTTGATCCACAACAATCGTCGGTGCGGCATACTCGCTTTCGCTTGGCTGTATGATTCCCTTCTGGATGTAGTCGTCGACCTGATTGCGGATAAATTTTCTGTCCGCTGGGGAGCACCTGTATGCCCGGGATACGACT